GCGGCGCCCCGGCGCGGGGCCGGGGGCGGGCCGAGGGTGCTGTGACCCCCGGCGGGGCCCTGCCCACCCGCCCGGCTCCGGCACCGGCTCCAGCGGCTGAAGTTGCCGAAGTCGGGGTGACTGCCATGTCCCTCGCCCGGCGGGAGCCCTGACGGGCGCTGCCCGTCCCGAGGCCGCCTGGCTTTGTTGGGTTTTTGTTGATTTATTTGCTTTTCGTTACTGCTTTTCTGCCCTCTCGCCGCGGTGGATGGCCCGCGGTGGGCGCCGCTGGCCGCGCCGCCCCAGCCCGGGGAGGATGGTGGCGGCGGTGCTGGCCGGGCTGTCCCTGCTCAGCCTCCTCACCTGCGGCTACCTGGCCTGGGGCAGCCGCCGGGGAGGTGCCGGGGAGGCGCCGGGGAACCTGCTGGGAGAGGAGCCCGAGGCCGGCGCCCCCCGCTCGCAGCCGCACATCATCTTCATCCTGGCCGACGATCAGGGGTTCAGGGACGTGGGGTACCACGGGTCTGAGATCCGGACGCCCACGCTGGACAAGTTGGCTGCCGAAGGGGTCAAGCTGGAGAACTACTATGTCCAGCCCATGTGTACACCATCCAGAAGCCAATTGATCACTGGAAAGTAAGTTTGCTGCTACTTCATCATTCACTCCTCCAGCCTAAACGCTGTCCCTGTTGGAAAGAGCACGGGTGAGCCTGGCAGGTTCATGTCTGGGTTATCCTGTGGGCAGAAGGTGCCTCTCTGGTTCCCTTAAAACCCTTGAATGGAATGGACTTTTGATAGGTTTGAAACAGTGAAATAAAGCTGTCACCCAGGGAGGCAGGAGGGTTCAGCACTGCGAGCTGCCCCCCGGAGTGCTGGAGCACATTGGTGCTTACAGCATCGCTGACAGACGTGCTGGTCGTCAAGTAACAGTGCTGTTGCTGGGAGCGAGCAGCTCTGCTTTGCTCTGTGATTTCCAGGGGACTCAGGGGAGGAGGAAATGCCAGCCTTTCGTTTTCTCCTCTGTGTTCATTGCAGTTGGGTCACGGGTCTCACTGGCAGTGTCTTGATGTGGGTTCTCTCCAAGGGTTATCCTGCATTTATGAGGTGGTGTCCCAGTGTGATGGGCACAGGGAGTTCAGGCTCTCTCAGCACCCTCCTAGCTGCAGCATTGCTCTTGTCACTTTGCAGACAGTTACAAAATTTACTCTAAAGCCACTAAAATAGGTGGCTCTCCTGACTGGTGTAAGCACTGAGTGTCATGTGCTTTGCCTTAAAGTTGTATTATACTGTGGTCTGCTAACAAAATAATTACCCAACCTCAGGGCCTTCTTACATCAGAAGGTTAATGAGGATTAAGGGGGGAGTTTATGCATTGGAACTGTAGGAACAATTTCTAAATCTCCAAGTGTGGACACATTTACTCTGGAACAAAACTTCCTTGTCTCTGTTTGGCTTAACTCCCTTTGACAGGAACAGGGAACTCCTAAAAGAGCAAAACAAAATGAGAGGGAAAAAAGTTTATTTTCTCCTTTCCCGAAGTATAAACAGGAACAAGGCCATGTTAATACTGCTGGTAAAAGAAACACATGTTAAATAAAACAAGCAACTGGCCTGGTGTCTCGCATCTCCATGTGGTAGAGCCGGAGATAATTCCCAGTCTCGGTCTATTTCCCAGACTTGCTGGACCAGGGAGATTTGCATGGAGAGCTGACACATTATCTAGAGCAGGAATTCCACAGAGGTCTTTGTTTAGGTTTTATTTTTACTTCTCTGTGCAGACTATGTCTCAGAAGTGATTTGGAGACACCTCCTCGCTCATTGACCAGAGCAGAGTTGCCCTGCGGCAGCTAAAGCAGCAGCTTCCAAGGGAAACGTGTGCCAGGGCGGCGTTCAGTGCATCCCGCTTGTCTTTAGAGGCACGCAGCACTCGGAGGCCAGGAGCTCCGCCAGCAGCACGTAGCCAGCCAGCTTTCTGAGGATGAGGCTTTGGGAAGCAGTGCTTTACAAAGGCAATGTCATGCTGCACAGGAATGACTCATGCAGCAGCTGCAGGAGTGGGATCACCGGGTTCCAGTGGAACCAGGGTGCTGCTCTGGCTCTTGGAGGCTGCAGAGATTGTCTAAACATGAGAAAAATACAAGCTAAGAATAACTGTAACTCAGTTTAACTATTTTGATCCTTCTTTAAGTACAGTAAAAGGTGGGCATGTTCTGAGGAACCCTGCTCTTTTCATGGGCTTGCCAGGCAGAAATGGTTCTGCAAATCTGCCTTCTTTGGTTTTGGAAACTTTTATAGGAAAAAAGAAATTTGCTTATGCTGTGTCTTTGTTTTCTTAGTCTGCTGGTCTGAAGCCCTTAGAGCAATTTTAAAAATGTTGTTCTACTTCAGGGAAAAAGGAGCTGTAGAGAGAGAGCTATTTCTCATGAGTGAGAAATCAGGGAGGGATTGGTGAGGGGTTAATAGGCTGGGCAGAGTACTCACAGGCATGTTCAGAGAATACTGTTTCCATTCTTGCTGAAGATAAATGCTTTGATGACTGCTTTTAACGGCCAAGATTTAGACACTTCTAATCCAGGACAAATGCTGTTATTTCTTGAGTTCTTTAATGTGTTAATTCCAGGCTAAACACCTGCTCATCTTCTGGAGGATCACCTGGATGTTCCATGCCTCCCAATACACATCCAGTGCTTAACATAGTGCCAAAGAATAGTTTAGGTTGGAAGGAACATTTAAAGGGTAACCTAGTCCAGGTCCCTGCCATGGGCATGGACACCTTGAACTAGAACGTGTTCCAGGCATAACCTGTTGGATCAGTCAAATCCAGAGGGACTTGTGTAAATCAGAGTCATGACTGACTCAGATTGCCAAGTGGAAGCTAAATTTTGGAGAAGACTTTGAACAGCCCAAGTTCTTCACAGGTCTCCAGGCAGCCCCTCCATGGCCTGTGTTAGTAGAGACCCTACTTTTGGTGGCTGTCCTGTGTGTGAGCAAGTACAGGGACGGAGGCTGGAGATGACGTGTTAGAAGGAAGAGGCAGAATTATTTTTTCCCCCCGTGCTGTACCACAGTGTGGCAGCTGGTGAGCTTGTCATCCTGACCTCTTCTGAGTCCTATCTGCTTCCTCACACCCTGTGTGTGAGCCTTTGGCTGCTTTCATTCCTTGCTTTCCCACAGTATTGTCATTTTCCCCGTTCACTCCATCCAAAACCATTGCTTTTAGGCCACTAGTAGGGCTGGTTTCCACAGCTTTTTATTTTGGGCTTTACTTCTGGGTGTGTGTGGGGGCTTGCAGCTGAGCTGAGCCTCAGGAATGGAGAAGAAAGGCGTGAGCCAGTGGGCTGAGGGCCAGTGGGATGTGCAGGGAGGTGAGGGAGCAGCTCTGCTCAGCTGGGACGGCAGCAGGGACCTGGGTGACAGGGTGTGCTCTGCCCTGGGCAGCTCTGGGACACTGCCCGGCCTCTCCCACGTCCTGCAGCTGGACTAAACCTGTGCTTGTCATTGGGCTTGGGTGTGAGTGACACAGATTGTCTCCAGATGAATTGTTTTGTGTGATACAGTATTTTTTTTGTGGTTGTTTCCTTCTTGAAAGTAGCAGGCGTGCCTCAAAACCTAAATCATTTGAGCAGAATGGGAACCTGGCTGAAAGCCTGTGAGCTTAGAGGAGCATGTCTTGGGGTAGCTGCCCCAGTTCGTTATGCCATGCAGTGGTATTTGCTGGAACAATATCTAATTTAGCAAAGGAATCTGACAATTAAGGAGGAATATAGACATAACAGGCTGTAAATGCTTTTGGCTTTATTTAGATACCTGCTGCCTCCTCTAGGCTCCTGGGTTTTGACCATGGGACTTGTAGCCTGGGGACCATGATTTGCACTGGAATTCATCTGGGCCACAGGAAGATTCCTCATCCATTCAGGAGTAGGAATCTCTCTTTGTAGAATCTGATGCACAGCTGGGGTTACAGATCAGTGGGAATTGAACTCATTTTCTGAGTCATGGAAGCCCTGCACTAATCTCAGGAATGAGCTTTGCACTGTGGATGGAATGCAGAGATGGAAGATGTTGGGAAATGCTGAAAGTCTGGGGAAATAAATCCTTTTCTTTCCCCTAGGATAAAATGGAATATTGAGAATTTGCTCATCCAAAGCAGACAGAAATAGATTGTACAATCAGTAAGCATAATCTGAGTGTTATTGTAATGTAAGTAATTATATCTCTTACCTAATTCAGAAATGTCACACATTTATAAACATATATATAACTATATGTGTCAGGCATATGGCTCTAGGCATCCCTGTGTACTGATACCTAGTTCAGCATTAAAAATGACAGTGTTTGAGCAAACTAAGACTTACTTTGGTAAACAGGAGTGGGCTAAGTCCTTTGAGTTGAAAGCAGTGTAGCTGGCTTCAAGCAAACAGAAATCCTTTACTCTGAGGGTGCGAGTTCTTGGTCAGCCTCCTCTCTCCCTGCTCCTGGGTGCATCCTGGCCCAGGCTGCAGTTCCAGCAGGGTGCTGCTCTGGGAAGGAGCCAGTGCAGCAGTGTGTCACTGGGAAGTTACCTGCCGTGCTCTGAGCTGCAGTCAGGGGTCTGGGGCCTTGACAGGATACTGGGAAGCATATCTAGCACTCCATTAGATGCATTCCCTGTGCTGTAGTTAACAAAATGAGGGCTGCAGAATATCAGCTTAAGTACCAAGAGGTGACCTGATACTTTATCTGCCCTGGAGTAAAGGGACTTGGCAGTCAGTGCTCCCGAGTTTAATTCTGATCTGTGTTTCCACTAAGAACTGAGATGATGAAATAAAATGTTCTGATTAAATGTGCTGGTGAGATAGGTGGGCCTGCCAGCATTAAGGGACTGTGGTGATACTGAAAATCTTCCTGACAAATTAGAGACATAATCTGAAATAAAGCAAAATTAAAGCCAGCAGTGATAAATAGAAGATACTCTGCTGAATTCCTGAAGCAGGAAGAAATTTAACAGGCTGAGGATGGTGATCAGCTCCTTAGACAGTATTCCTTTAGAAAAGTAGCTGGAATTACAATACATGATGCACTGGGTGTGAGGTCAGCAATGTCATTCTCTCACAAAAAAGGCGAAATGTGGGGCCCGGTAGGTCTGTGAAGAGCCCTTCTTCTCCATGGCTGGAGCACTTTTGCCCAAACTTGGGCATCATTCTCCAACAGCAACGTCTGTATCATTGGAGAGTGTCCAGAGAAGGGTGATCAGTATCTCAGGGAGATAACTCAGGGAGAAGGATCAGAGGAAACGGAGCTGTTTAGTCTAAAGAAGAGAAAAATGGGAAGGGACGTGGTAGGCCTCTGGTGTTTTAAGAGCTGTGCATAGAAAGGGCATCGTGTGTGTTCAGTGTCGTGCTGGGTGGTACAAGAAGTGAGGAGCTTTCTGCAGCAGGAAAACTTCAGGTCAGATCAGAGGGAGAACCTGCAACATAGAGATTGTTAAACCCTGGAGTAGGTGGCTTTGGGAAATTGCTGGGTTTCTGCACTGGCAGTCATTAGGAAGGATATGTCAGCAATGACATAACGTAGTTGAGGCTGTCTTGGGGAAAAGGGTTGGTGTCTCTTCCAGCTTGGATTCATCTGTGCCTCATTTGAAGGACAGATGAATACAG